TCATTCCAGACTGCCTGTCCTCAAAGCAAATCATGGTGATCATCTAAGGCAGAGATTTCCAGAAAGAGAGGCACCTGAAGATGCAAAAAGATGACAACTGGAATGCTTGCAAGGAGACAGTATACTCTAAATCCAGCTGGCTTCATGAAGCTGCTTCTGCAAAGTCTACAGGACACCTATAGGTGAAAGAAACCCTTCAATTTAAAGAAAACTAAAGGTGATTGAATGCGAACAACACTCATTCTTGGAGGGAAAGAGATCATCACAGAAGTAAAATTCAAGAGGAATATCTGTTTCTCTTTTCCTGCAGCATGAGAATACTGGGCAAGTTGGTTGGACTTACATAACACATGATCACAGTATAAGCATTTCTCCTTACTTGGGAATAAACTAATTGCAGGAACATGTTACTCTGGAGAGCAGAAAAATCAGAACTTCCTGATAATCCTGCATTTAGTCATACATATATACAAATAGTAAAATACTCAGAATTTCGGTAGCCCGTCGATAACAAATGGATCTGCAGCTATTAACTGAGTATGATTTGTGTATGATACAGCACACACAAACAGGAGGAACTGAAATGTGTTATGGATCCTGTGCTGAACTATCTGACATTAGTCACCAAGAGAGAAGTGCAAGAAGGGGAACATTTCTCCGTTTTGTGATGGCTGTTCTTAACATGGTGAATGCTCATAAATTTTTTTTGCCTAACCTAAAGCCATAATAACCAAAAGGATTTTCTCCCTTCCATCTTTCGTGTAGATATTTCAGTGTGAAGAGCTGAGCAATACTAAAAATTTTGAACTTGTTTTCATGTAGGATAATGGCAAAGTTAGATATGGCAGCAGTGCTGCAGTGTTTATTAATGCAGAAGGTTCTTTGCTTTGTATGTCACTTGCTATATTTTCCTCTTCATCCTAATTTGAAATGCACTGCATGTACTGCAACACTTATTACACATGGAAAGTAGAAGCGTGGGAGAAAACAAATGTCTTATAAATTCCAGAGGAGATGCTACTTAACTTCATTATTTAATTAAATCAATATGATTAGGAGTGTGCTTACTTAGCACAAATGAATGACTTGTGCACAATAATATGCATGTATAATATGCATGATAAGAGTATCTTTATTACTCATTTCCTATGTTGGAACAAATTGTAAATTATTTCTACCTTGACAGATGCAGAGCCAAGCAGAATCAGGTGTTCTATTCAGATCATAAAATTTTAGGATTTCGTATTTCACAGAAAAAGTTCACTTTCACTACTGAGCCTCCATTCTTTTGTTTAGTAAAATAATATGTCAGAAACCAATCAATCAACCAGAAGTCATAAATTCAGTCAATGCTCTGAAAAAATGAAGCCTGTTTCCTCTAAAAAGCCATGTGGAAATACCTCAGAGTTGTCACTCTGGAGTGCTGCAGGTGCAGATGCACCCTGCATGAGCAGATTCAGGTTGGACATTCAGAAGTGTTGTGGTCCTTGCAGACTTAGATTGGAACAACCTCTGAGATTAGACAGACAACAGCATTATTAATTTTATTTCTCTACCATGCCTGTCTTGCAGATTATTCTGTTTTCATTCATAAGGATTACCCAGGTTTGCTCATAATTTCTATCCTCCCATACTGCTGAGATTTGATGATGTGAGAAATTCTGAAATACTAGAGAAGCTGCCCTGCATTGGCATCAGTGTTCTGACTTGTCACCCCAGACTGCCTGTCAGTGCAGCAGAGAAAACATGATTCCTCACTAAGCTACAAGGGACAATGTTAGGCTGAGTTTGGGGTTCTCCCGGGACCTTCCTGCCACTCCCATGCTGGCGTCAAATTCTTGGTGGAAAGACTGGCAGAACAGGAATTAGGGAGCTGCTAGACTTCTTGGTAATGAGATCTTTCAAGTTTTAAATAAATTCATCTTGCTTGAGGGCAAAAGCTTGCTCTTGTACAAAGGGCCTAGAACATGCCATTTCTTAAACAGCAACTGCTGGGACTGCTGCAGCCTTCTGAGAGACCCTGGTAGGTACTAGCCAGTCAAGAAACAGGACCCTTTTCAGGCTCAGGCTGAGAAAGCTGCTCTGAGAAAACCCCTTAGTTGTACAGGATGAATATACTAAGCAGAAAGAGCACTTAGTGAACAGCACTAAGGATGTAAAAGGATAAATCTTTCCACTTGCTCAAGGCAGTAAAGAAAGCATGCTATCCTCCTTTCCACAAAAGCTGATGACAATGCTGCGGAAAGGAATGATAATTGAACCATGTGTTCGTAGTGGAGGAGGTCTGTTCTCAGGAACTCATTTAAATACATAGACTTACTTACCTAGAGCAAGCAGTATGATGGTGACCAAACTCAGGGAATTCCTTTGCACTCAAAAGAGAGAATGTACTCTCTTCTTATAGAGAATGTACAGCCAAGAGCAAGGTTAAAAGGGTCCATAAAACCAGATAAAAAGTTCATGTGAAAATCCAATCTGTCTTTATTTCATAATTACCTCATTAAGATAACTGACTCCATTTTGTCCACATAATTCATGACTGGGGGTGGGTGTGTAAAATACAGTACAGGTGTTTCTCTGACATTAGACTTCAACAATGCCAACAGGGAAGCTACACAGACATTTGCCAAAATGCAATAAGGCAGTACAGAGATGACTTGTAACGATAAACAGATAAAGGGCTCCTCTACTCTTTCTTCCCTTTGCTACTCTGAACATAAGAAGACGAGATTATTAAAAGCAACAGTGCAAAACATGGCTAGCTCCTGACATCTTCACACCACTCTGCAAACACTGCTTTTCCCATCTTCAAAAAAGGGTTACTTCTCAATTCTACTTCCAGGCCACCCTTCGGTGTAAAAAGCATATTAGGACCTCTGCTGTTTATGTTTTGGGGTTCAGCCACAGCTGGCAATTAAGCACCAGGCAGCCACTCCTCACTCCCTCCTAGTGATATGGGGGGGGGGGGGGGAAATGCAAAGGTAAAAGTGAGAAGACTCATGGTTTAAGACAGTTTAATGTGTAAAGCAAAAGATGTGCACACAAACAAAGCAAAGCAGAGCAAGAAATTTATTTGCCACTTCACATGGGCAGACAGGTGTTCAGCATCTCCTGAAAAGCAGGGCTCCATCATGAGTAAAGGTGGCTTGGGAAGACAAATACCATCGCTCTGAATGTGCCCCACTTCCTTTTCCTTCCCCAGTTTTAAATGCTGAGCCTGACACCATACGGTATGGAATATCCCTTTGGTCACTTGGGATCCACTGTCCTGGCTGTGTCCTTTCCCGAGTTCTTGTGCACCCCCAGTCTACTCACTGATGGGGTGCTGTGAGAAAAAGATGAGGCCTTGGCTCTGTGTACGCACTGCTCAGCAGTAAAGAAAATATCCCTGTATTAATAATGCTGTTTCCAGCATAAATCCAAATCATAACCCATAACAGCTACTGTGAAGAAATTAGTTGTACCCCAGTCAAAACCAGCACGTTATAACATGTCCACGGCTCCTAATGAAACTGGGATGTTCTTGTGCAGAGTTTTGACCTGTGTGAAAAGAGGTCCTCTGCTCACTCATCTCTGCATTCATGGGCTTGATAAAGCAACAGAGAAATGGTGCTTTGTGTGAAAGTAGAGATGTGGAAAACACTATCACAGGTTGGAATGGTTTGCACTGAAGGAATGAAAAAGATGATCTCAAAAGGAAGAGAACAACCAACTTTATTGCTTGTATTGATGGGTCTGAATTTTGATTGGTGGAAATCTCCCAAAAATGCAACTGTGATGGCCTTCTCCAACTCTTTATGTGAAGCCGAATTCCACAATGCAGTGTAGACAGAACAAAACCGCCACAAAATCTTCTGTGGCAGATCAGAATGCACAGTCATAGCACTACAGTTAAAGCTATCACCTGAGTAGTTTGTTTGATTAATTTCTTTTATTGTGGCAGAGGCCATAGATGGGCCTGGAGACATCACTCTGCAGATATTCCTATCTCCACCTGAACATCCTTGCGATGCCTCCAGCCTTCTCTAACATGAGTGAAAATCAGCACTGGGATGAAGACTGAAAATACAGTTGGGCAAAGAGAACTTGGGAAAACCTGTTACAATATATGTTTACCTTTGGGCAGATGGAGAAGGATAAAAAGTATGATACTAACTGGCTGCAACTGTGGCGGCCCGGATGACAAACCCTCCTGGCAATGCATAAGCTGAGCAGCATGATTCACCCACGTATCACCTCTGCACTTGATTTACTGTAGCCCTTCCCAGGAACACCCGTGGGAAAGGTACCTACCACGAAAATATGTAATATCCTGTTTGCTTAGCATCAGCCCTAGCCAACAACAGGGCTCGGTGCCCTTTTATGGGCCAGCTGGACCCCACAAGGAGGGGAAGGGGGACACAGAGGCAGCGGTGGTAGAGTAGTCAGAGCTCAAACCGTGCAGGTATCCCGGCCCCTCCAGACGATAGGCGAGAGGACGGACGGAGGCTCCTACGAAAGAAACAGCATCTCATCTCCTCTCTCTCCCTCCTCTCGGCGGCAGCCCCGCTCCCAGGCGCGTTCGCAGGCGCGCCTGCGGGTCCCACCCGCGGGAGCGCGCAGTGAGCACCGCGAACCCCCCCGTGCCCGGCCCGGCCCGGCCCCTCCGCCCGCCCCGGCACCTGGCGCGGCCCCGCCCGGCGCGGCGGTGGGCGGGCCCCGCATGCAGATGCGTCCCCCGCCTCTCCGGTGCGTGCTGAGGTCAGGCTGGGCTGCGCTGCCAGCGCGGAGCTGCGGGGCTGAGGTCGCGGCGGACCCGGAGCCGCGGGGGCGGGCGCGGAGCTACGGCGAGCGCCGGGCTCAGGCCGGGAGCGGCTTCCCGTCGCCGGCAGTCCGGGGGACTCGGTGAAGCCCTTCCAGCAGCGGGACAGCGGAGGGTGCGCGGAGCGGGGCGCCCGGCCCGCCCCGCCGCCCCGCCGCTCCTCCATGCGGGCGGCCCGCGGCGCTGGGGCGCGGGGCGCCGGGGGCAGCGCGCAGCGGCGCTGAGGCCGCGGCCGGGGGAGAACGATGGCCAAATGGCTGAACAAATACTTCAGCCTGGGCAATAGCAAGACCAAGAGCCCTCCGCAGCCCCCGCGGCCCGACTACCGGGAGAAGCGCAACGGTGTCGGCGGCGCGCCCCGCCCCGAGGGGCCGCCGCACCTCCACCTCCACCATCACACCTCGCCCGGCTTTTCGCGCCGCCGCCTGCGCGACGACACCAGCGACCTGCTCCGCGCCTACCGCGCCCAGAAGGACCGCGACTTCGAGGACCCCTACAGCGGGCCCGGCTCGTCCCTGCGCAAGCTGCGCGCCATGTGCCGTCCGGACTACTCGGCTCCCGAGGACCTGGGCGAGGCGGCCCTCAAGGCTTCCTCCTCCTCCTCCTCCTCGTCGTGCTGCGCCACGCCTCCGACCACCGGCTCCCCGCATCTCTTCCGCAGCCACAGCGAGCGCCGCCCGGCGACACCGCCCGACGTGAAGTACATCTCCCCCAAGCACCGGCTCATCAAGGTGGAGAGCGGCGGTGGCGGCAGCGACGGCGTGGGCAAGAAGCTCCACAAGGGCTCCAAGCAGCCGGCGACTTCTGCCCCCTCTGCTGTGAAAGATAAGGTGAGTGTTGAGCTTCTGTTCCCGCCCCTGTAGGCTAGGGAGTAAGGCTTGGGGCTGCGTAAGCCCTTGGAAGGGTTTTTGGCCAGGGGACTAGCTCCTGTCTGCATCTGGAGCCGCCGCTGTTCTCAGTCATTCTCAGGCCACTGGGTGGCCTGGCGCTTTTTAATATCTCAGGGCAGGCAGGGCATGTGCAAGACTGGCACGGGAAGTGATGGTGCCCTGCCTTTACGGCTTTCAGACTCGCCTCCCTTCTATGGGGCAGGTTCACAGGTGTGCCTAGCCGTGCTTTGCGGCGCAGTGCACTGCCAACCGCGTGACTGGTACCGAGGCTTTTGGGTTGGTGTGCTCCTGCAGAATAGGACGTGGATCTTTAGGGAAGTACTTTGGGAACCCTAGAGTCCCTTGAGAAGCCTCGTGCTTTTGGTCCAGAGTTGTGGCCTCAGCCCCATTGCATGTGGTTTGGAGCAGACATATATAAAAAATACATAAAAAAAACACCAGTAATTGATGCCATTCCAAGTCATGCTGTCTGTTTTTTAGGAAGCCAGTTTGTCGTTTGTTTAGTAATAACTTTCTTACCTCCTAGTTCAGTGCCAAAGATGAGTTGAAAGTCCTGTGCTACAGCAGCATCACAGCTTCCATAACTGTCTTTCCAACTGGCAGGTAGCTAAAGCAAACTCTGTAGCTACTTACTCAGTTGCAAATGTCCTGGTTTTTAGTGGTCATTCTCTACAAATTTTAACAAATTTTCTAGACGCAGCACTGTGAGGTGCTGGACTCAGGAACTCAGGTTACAGAGAGAAGTAGCATCAAGTATTTTGTAAGCACGGTACATTCCACCTCACCTCTGTTGGTGTTGTGACTATAGTTTAGTTTTTCTTCTGTATTGGAAATAAATATTTCTCTGTTTCGTTAATTGGCATTTCCAGCTCCAGTGTAACAGTCACATCACAAGAATTGCAAATATGTGCTGAATGCTATCAGTCTAACTGATCTGTGTGTACATGTTTAAATATGTAACATGATTGCCTTGCCACACTTCCATGACAGCTTGATAAATTTTGTATCTGTCCAGGTGGCATTCCAAAGAAATCAGCTTGTGACAGTGATGATACAAGGTTAAAAGTCTAGAATTTATTACATTGTTTTTCTTAGGTGTAATTCCTGACTGGAAGCGACTTCTTTTATGGAAGTGATTGATTAAAACTTAGCATATCAGTGTGTTACATTATATGCTATGATATATTCAGTCTTCTTTGAATTTCCTGGGTTGATACCGGGTATCTTTAGGGAAACACTCTCAATGAAAACAACTCCTTAGGGCAAAATTTTTTTTTTTTTTAATCATCTCTCAATTTTAGAACCTACTGAAGCAAATTTCAAAGCAGAAACTATATATCTGATGCAATGTAACGTGCTACCTTGTATGGTCATAAATCTGTGTGCTGCTCCTAAGCCCTTGTTGTAGGTTTTAAAATTTGCAGGCAAAAAGCTTCAGTCGTAGTCACATTTTTTTTTCTCTCCTTGAGGCAGAGAACTATATGTGACAAGTAGGAAATTTTACCATGTCTGAGAATAAAATCATCCTTCTGCCTCAGAAAGTTAAGTGTGCCTACCCACAAAGAATTTGGATGTGAGGAGCAACACATGCTTTTTAAGAATTGTGTTATTTCCTCCCAGCAATGAATGTGAAATCTCTTATTTCACAGACCTGAAGTGTAAAGTCTGACAGGTGAACTTGGTAAGCAAGGGTCATAGCAGACAGTCAGAGAACTGCTTGTCTTCTACACCTGTGATTCACTTAGGAAGAAATAATGAGGAATTTAGTTAATGGAGTGTCTGTAGTTTGGTTGCAAATAAAGCAAGTGAAAATAAACTTGTGTAAGAAGGATATAGTAGAGGGGACAGTAAAGAGGCAATAATGTCGTCTGTCCCCCCCCCCCCCCCCCCCAAAACTAGAGGTCTGATATTCGGAAGAATTCATAGAAATGATAAAAACATTTAGAGGAGGAAAAAAATCTGTAGCATAAACTACTAAACAACTTAGGAATGAAAAACCAATCTAAACACCATATAGGTGTGACTTTATAGAAGTGTGTTAACATGTAATGATCCAATACTGTCTGCTTGAGTTTCATTCCAGCATCTGTTGAGGGTTTTTTCTGTTTTCATTTACAAGGATAGGGTGCTGTTTTCCTTCATGTGTTAATGGAGAAGTCAGAAGTCTGGTTTTCAACAAATTCAGTAAGCAGTTTTAATGATTTCTGTGATTTCATCAGCAAAGAGTTGGCTGAAGAACCGGGTTGTGTGTCTTGAAAGAGTTACTGGGATGTGAAGGAGATTCAGGAAGGTGCTTGTTTAGTGTGTTTACTTATAAAGGGCAAATGGCAGAGTATGAAGAGTGACAATTTAGTTAGTTGAAATTCCCAGGGGAAAAAAAATTATAGACTAGCTGATTCAGGGAGTAAAGGAGATAGAGATTTAAAGCAGTGGCAGGCATGATTGTTCGCTGCAAGATTCCAGACATGGGCTGTAAAAGTAACGACACAGATGTAATTTATCTGGTGGTCAAGAAGTTTTGACGTGTAGAATTAGTAATACCAACTCAAGTTGAAGCATACAAACCCAAATTGCCATGTACCTTTTGAAGTGAAGTGACTAACCTCTACAACAGATGCCTAGAGGAGAGTTGTCATTTCCAGATGTTTTTGAATTCAAATTGCTGGGTGGATTTTCTTATTTAGGTAATGCAATCAGTCAGGTTTGGGGGCTTTAACAGTGAAGCTTACCTTCAGACAAGGTAAGGAACAGGCTGCGTTGAATTCATAGCTGAAGCAGCTCAGTTCCTCCTGTGTACTGGATAAGAAATTACTGGCTTCTGTCTTCAGTGCTCACCTGGGAGATGTTAACTTCTTAATTCCTCTGTGGCAAGCAAATGAGTGTAGGCAAGTTGAAACAATATGTGGCTGTGTTCTGCAGCAACCTGGCAGCTACGATATTTGTGCAAGAGTAAATGAGAGGCCTGGTTTAAGATCAGCTCAGTAGGCAAACCACTTAATGAACTGGGGATTGAAAACAATTAGCTGAAGTCTTCCTGAGTGACTGTCCTCTGTCTGGCATGGTGGTGTGTGTAGATCCATGAAAGCAGCAATAATTGAGGAGACAATGCCTGTGTAAAAGCGTACTTCATTTATGTTCTCACCTGTTACTTATTTGAACCGAAATACTCTGTGTGATTGTGCGGCTGAAGAACCTGGGACGCTATTCAAAGACAAACTGTATTGTACTTCATTGCAGGATGTTCTTAAGATTTAAAAGGTGAGACTGTAGTATACATGTTCTTTAAAGGATAATTATTTCATAGTAAACATCATTTTGCCCTCTCTCTGTACAGTAGAGGCAGAACTATGCAGTTCTACATAGTGACTGCAGAAGACACTGCAAGTTGCAAGATCCATTTCCACAGGTGTTAGAGATTTTTGACTCTAAGCTCTCATCTCCATTAGATAGGTTTATTGGCACAGACCTGTTACGATATCTGGTTGATTGAGGCAGTGCCTCAAAAGAGGGACCCTGAACAAAGAAATCCCTGGGCAATTTCACCCTTCCAATCCAAACTCCCCATCCCTCATGTGACAGTCTGGACAAATAGCAACATTAGGATCTGGGATCTTCTTACTCTTGGCTTGCTATTTTGTTACCAGGTTGTGTTGGTCATCTTCACACCCTCTCAGGTTGGTTGTGGTGGGAGTTTCAGTTAGTTCATTGCAACCATGTTGTAATATGGTTGTTACAGTCTATAAACTGTGATCTGTGAGCTGTCCACTCTATTAATTTTTAAGTAATATTTAAGATGCTAGCTTTGTCTGTACTAATTATTATTATTAATGTTCTGACTGTAAGCTCCAGTTTGTATTGTAATCTTTCTTTGACGTACACAATATAACCTGTAGTTCTGATAAAGTTTAATTTGCAGCCTAGAAATTCTAGATACTTATGTCAAGCAAGCACTCAACTACTTTTAAATAGTACAAAATTTTCAACTACAGGACAGGACGTATCTGATGCTGCAGAAGGTAACTTGTTTCTGCCCAGTCAGAGTGGATCTAGTACAAAATCATGCAAATCTTGCATGGCAGCAGCAATCAAGCAGACAGCTGTTCAGGGCAGCATACTTGCTGACTTGATGTGCAAAGTTCTGAAAACGCTACATCTGAATTCTGCACTTGTATAAGAAAAAAACCCTCTTTGTTTCCATGGGATCTAACTCAGAAGTATGTGGTGCAGAGATTTGTCTTCTAGGTAAGCATGAGGGCTAAAGCTGTTTGCCTTGAAAGCTTCTCCTTGCGATGTGTAAGAAACAAGTACTTTTCTAACGTTTTACTATACAATGGAAATGGTTTTTGAACTTATAAAATCTGGCATAAAAGTAATTAGACTTCTTGGAACATGATTAATATCTATAAAATTCAAGTATTTTACTAAAGGTAGAGAAGATATTTGTCTTATTTCTCTATATGGAAGGTCTGTGTTTTATCTGATGTTTCAGTTGAGCGAAGTCAGTTGTATTTAACAGAACCTTGCAGCTGGTGTTCTGAGATGCACTGAGAAAACATTTGAAAGATATTCAAGCAGTGTTGGGGTTATTAATTTCAAAGAATATTGTCTCTAAACTACAAATATACCTCCGTGTCTTATTCCCATGTTGAATCCATTGCAGCAGAGTGCCAAACTACCTTTCCTTACAGTTGGTTCTACGCTGAAACAGGCGTCCTCCTTGTGTGTGGTTCCCGTTGGCATATGGCTCTGCTTTGGAGTCAAAGAGGGAAAAAAATACTCATGCTCACTGGTCTTTCATGAAAGCTTGAGCAAGGCTACACATAAAGGCAGCAAGTGTTTTTTTTTTTTCATGTATTTCATAGTGCATCTATAATGCAGCTAGAAATGCATTTTTTCCACATGTCAGTCTCATGATTAAGGGACTATTACAGTCTTATGAA